CCCTCCGAGCACCAGGCGGCCCAAAGCCCCCCGCCCCCCCCTCCGAGCACCGCGCCGCCGAATAAAAAAAAATAAAAAATCGAGCACCGCCCTGCCCCAAGGTGCCGCCCAAGCACGTGCTTGGTCGGCTGGTGCCTGGAGATGGCCCTGATTGCTGGTGTATGTCTTCTTCAGGTATAGTGAGGAGTTTTGGAATATCATACAACATCCCAAATATACTGCTGTGTTCCTTGAGCTTCATAAAACGTTTGTCAACTGACTGTATTGCACAATCTAGCACCTGGTTAAAGAATTCAACTTTGAATTGTTGTTTGGGGTCTCTTATGGGATTATCCCGTGCCTCATAATCAAAATGTCTTCTTCGGTGACTCTTGTATTCCTGAATGGGTGGGAAAATAGCTTCACTGTGAAGTTCCTCTGCCATCTTCTGTGTACTCTTCAGAACATTTTGAAATCTCTCATCTGACCAGTAAGACTGTAGGTAGGACTTTGCTTTGTCCAGTTGTTCCATTGCTCCAGATATATCAAGGTCAGGTGACATTGCCTGAGCTGTGCCAGTGTAGCTTTTTCTCAAAGGCACAGGGTCTTTGAAGATCATGACATTCAAACAGACACCAAGCTTCTTGTTTATCAAGCCGTTATTCTCCCAACACTGTTGTATGGGTCCGAAACTTGGATAACCTATAGATACCACTTGAAAGTCATTGAAAGGCACCATCAACGCTGCCTTCGTAAGATTCTGAAGATCAAATGGGAAGACAGGCGCACCAATATTAGTGTTCTGGAAGAGGCAAAGACTACCAGTATAGAGGCAATGATCATCTGTCAGCAATTCCACTGGACTGGTCATGTTGTCCAGATGCCAGACCATCGCCTCCCCAAACAGGTCCTGTTCTCTCAGCTGAAAGAAGGGTACTGTAATGTAGGTGGACAATGGAAGAATTATAAGGACTTACTGAAGGACAACCTCAAAAAATGTAATATTGACATTGATACCTGGGAGACACTTGCCCAGGATCGCTTAAAATGGAGTGAAGTCCTACGGGATGGTCCCCTGCATTTTGAACTTGCTCACCGACAAGATGAAGAGGACAAGAGGTGCAGGAGGAAGGCGAGACTGTTCTCCAGTCATGGTCAACAGCCTCCTGCTGAGCCTGAAAACATCTGCCCTCATTGTAATAGAACTTGTGGTTCAAGGATTGGCCTTATTAGCCACCTGAGGACCCATAACTCCCATGGAAGATGATCATACTCAGTAACGAGTGATCGCCCATCATCATCATCAAGGTCAACACCTTGGAGTCTCTTGCTTACAACATTTGTTTCAAACAGTATGTCATGCCACAACACTAAGCCACACAGAAATTTGAAGTTATGTATGTTTCTGGTGATTCCATTTCCCTCTCCCACCGTTCTCCCATGAACAGTTCCTGTCATAGCATTATCCTCCATAATGGCAACTATGGCATCATCTATCTTCCAATTTGGTGTTTGATAGGCTTTATTGCCTCCACTTGACTTTCCCATCATGTGGCACTCAGTGGTTTCAGTGTCAGAGAGGATGTTCCCAGATGTTGCTTCAAAATTTGCCATCGATGAGTTGATGCAGAGAAAAATACATAGATGCTTTGAATTCCATTAAAAAATTCAGCAGCCTCACTAGAAGCTGATGTTGCATCACTGACCACCAAGTTCAATGAATGAGAACTGCATGGGACAAAAAAAGCTCAAGGGTTTAACTCTCGGATCCATGTCTGCACTCCTCTGTTCTTTCCTCTTATGTGGCACCATTATCATAGCCCTGACATCTCATGCAGTTCCCGTATCTTCCAGTTTTTTAGGAAGCACATTTGTCATACCAGCTCCTGTACTATCATCAATGTCAATAAATTCTAGAAAATGCTCTCTGACAGTCACCATTGCAGGGACATTTTCACTAGGTTCTGTTGTTGTTACAAAACGCACCATTAAAGTCATTTGTTCCATATGGCTGATGTCAGGTGTGCAGTCCAGAATAACAGAGTAATATCTTGCTGACTTCAGATCTGCTACAATCTTCTATTCGACTTTTGTTGCCAGTAACTGTACGATCTCATTTTGAATTGTTTTTCCAAGGTAGTGGTGTGTGAACATATCTTGGGTGGTGACTCTTCTTAGATGCTCCTGGAGTACAGCATCAAACTCAGCTCCACAGTTTTAAGGAAGTTTCCATTGTTTGGCACATACAGCGGATCGGAAGTGCCACGCGGTGCTAGGTTTTGGGTAGTAAGCATTCTCACAATGGCAATGAGCCTTTTCAGAACATTTTGCCAGTAAAGAGACTCTGATGTAATCTTCTCTTGATGCTGATCAGCTATGGTGGCCTTTAATCTTAGTCTCATCTCAAGCTCTTTCCACCTAATGAATGCTCTCTGGTGATTTGCTGCCTTCTCATGGCATGCCAGATTTCTAGCCAGATTTTTCCAGTCCTTTGTTCCTGTAGAACCCAATGTGGCTGGAACATTAGACTGGAAGAGTTTGCAACAAAAACCCTATGCAGCATTCTGGGTTTTTGAGTACATAAGCCACGGCCTCTCCATATTGTCACCATTGGGGATTTCATGCCAGTAATGTGTTGGATGGAAACTTCTATTTTCATTGTCTTTGGGGAACATGAAGTTTTTCACTTGCTGTGGCCCATGCAGTACAAGGAAGTCCCTCAGGCTACTGCTCAAGTGGGTCCACAGTCCTGGATCATCTAGACTTAAGGAACTAAACTCAGCAGCAGCTGTTTTTTGCGCCTCCACCACAGTCTCCTCTGATCTACACTTTTCTTCAGGAATGTGCATGGTTACATCCATTTGAGATGGAGATATGGATGCTGCAGAAGTTGCCAGGTCACCTGCACTCCGACTAACTGGAAGATCAGGCATCTCCTCACCACTCACATCCTCACTGGGGCCGGAAGGCTCACCGTGAACATTTGTGTCTATGTATCTCAGGAGAGCTCCTTCCTGCTTAGATAGAAAAGCTTCCTTTGCTTGCTTTCTTTTTCTGAATGCTGCCCCAGAGGGGTGTTTTCTTCTTTCAGTCATGACTGCTGTTCTGTGCCAGCTATAGTGGCTCTCAACAGTCAATTGAAGGGGACAAATAAGCAGGCTGGTAGCAGAGCCTGAGTGAGGGAAGAGATCAGCATCTTAAGGGCCTAACTGGCTCCTACTACTTCAGTTGACGGCCTGTTCTCCTCAAGTGGATTCAGGGAAGCAGCAAGAAACAAGAAGCTCCCTGAGAAGCTGGTGTTAATCAGTCCAGGCTCCTGGCGGTGCTAGAGAGGTACATAAGAGGCTCCTCCTCCTCTCTCTCCCTGCAGCTCTTGCTGCTTTCTGTTATTCCCTCTCACCTTTTCTCCTGCCTGCCTGGTATGTCTCTTGTGCCCTCCTTCCTCCAGCACAGCACTCCACCATCTCTGTGCATCTAGAGCAGAAAGAATACATATGCACCTGCAGCAGACACAATTTTCTACACTCCTAGTGGTGCCCCCCCACAGTCTGGCACCTGAGGCGGCCGCCTCAGTTTGCCTCATGGTAAGGCCAACTCTGGCTGAATGTAATGGCAACAGGCAGATGGGCTTTGGTGTTCTGCAATAAAATTATCATTATTAATTTTTTCTGTGTGAAATCATAATGTGTTTGGTTTCCATTTTAAAGGAGAAAACATCAATAAATCAATCCTGAAACATCCTACTCCAGTCAAGAGGACAGTGCTGACATTTAGAGATGGGAAATGTAAGGTAAGTGAGGTCTGTTTTTTTCTTCACATGTTAAACTGAATGAAAAGAAAATGTAATAATTGCAGGCTTTATATTAACTATGTCAAGTGTTTTCCAGTGCACCTATTGGAAGCACTGATCTTCCAGTAGACTGGAAGCATTTCAGCACAGGATCACAGTGTTATGCTCTAGCACAGAGGGTGCGTTCACCTTCCATGGGGATGGATTGTGATTTAACGATCTGCATGGGGTAAGAGGCACTGCCTCCTGAGCAGGCCAGGCAATCAGCTGTGACTCTGAGGGTTACAATTCATTTTCTGGTAGCCCGACTTGCTCCAGGAAGGAAGTAACTCGCTAATCATCGCAGGTTATTTCTCCCGCTGCTCTGGCCAGGATGGTGTGGAGCCAAGGCTTTACCCACTCTCTATGTGGGAGTAGGGGCCCTGCAGAGGCTGCTTTCCCTTTGGGAGCTACTGGGTACCTGGCCTGTGCAAGGGAGTGAGTGAATGTCTTACACCTGCTTACTCTGCCGTGTGGGTATGGGAGACAAGCTGAGAATTCTGCCTTGATTGCCTCAGTTGCTGGCTGTGGTATAGTAGCTAGAAAGAGGGTGAAATTTGCCATGGCAGTGTGTATCTGTGGATGACCGCAAACCTATGGCTTAGCAGGAATGCATGATGGTGGCATTTGCCTGGCCAAGAGGCTGCCTCCTCTAGAAAGTCCCAGAGTGCCTGATGCCAAGCCCACTGAAGTCAATGGGAGCCTTTTTCCTGACCTCAGTAGGCCTTTCATCAGGTGCAGATAGAGAGAGAGAGATTGTTCACTCTACAGGTTGTCTGTGACTCCCTGGAGAGGAGTATGGACCAGTAGGCTCACAAGGTATGTGTACTGACACGTGCATATGCAGCTGCATGGACCAATGATGTTGGCTACCTTGTTTGCCCTGTCCCTCATCCATTCCTATTTGTTTGTTTCATCTACATGTTGCATCTTCTCCTTAACTCAGCATGTAAGCAGGGACTGTCTCTTGTCTGATGTCTACCCAGTGCCCAGCACACTGGGATTCTGATCCTTAGCTAAGGCCTCTAGGTGCTAATGGAGTCCTACATAGCAGCCCTCTGTGCAAGTTCCTGTCCTTCTTGCAGGAACAGAACGCACGTGGCCCTGCAGGGTGACGGCTTCAGGCAGGCACAGTGCGGATTTACTATGATTTGGGCTTTTGCAGCTGATATTTATTCATTTAATATTTGTAGAAATCAAAAGAAATTATAATTAAAGGGCACCTTTCCTAAGTGCTAGGTGCCCCATGTCCTAGTTTATATAAACAAGCAAAACAAAGTTAACTCCCCAGCTCACCCCCAGCATTCTCTGAAGGGCAACAGGCCAGGGTGCTGGAGCTTGATCCAGGACTGAAGGCCTGTCACGGGGGAACACTCTACTGCCAGTTCCCCCTCCACTTTAAATTCATGGGGATCCTGCTCCAATGCCTCTGCTGATAGCAGCTGTGGCTGTGTGGCAGGGGAAGACGTGGTCCCTTGTGAGTCTTTTGTGGGGAGAAGTGTGAAAGCTAGTGGAATGGGTCAGTGAATTCAGCAACACAAACCCTCTTTAACCCATTGGTTACGATAAGGGGGGAAATTGTATTAAATAACCAGACAGTGACCCAGAACTCTAACCGGGGGTACGGAGCACTCCAAGGAGGAAAGTAATGCCGAGTTAGGCAAGAGAGCAGTGCAAAGCAGAGAGGGTTCCCTCTCCTGCCCCTTCCTTGGGTAAACAGTGCTCCCCTCACAGCTTCCCACATCAGCCTGGTTTAGTGAGAGCTGCCCCTTCTGTTTCAGTCTACTTCAACTGCTGCAGCTGAGTGTTTGTCAGGGAACAGAAAGCCCAGTATGTCCCTGAGGACATCGCGGACACGCTAAACAATCTTGGTTACTCATGTCACATTGTCTGGCGTGGCTCACAACTGTGAGTGTCTACCTCGGGGCAGACTGTCAGAAAACAAGGGCAGACACCCCAAACTGGTGGTATGTTCTATACTTAGATTTCACTAATGGGAACTCCTGGATCTCTGTAGCAGTCTTACCAGGGAGTCACAGACAGTCCCCTGATACTCTCCAGCCTATTTTGCCACCTGGACAAACTGGACTTTGTGATCATGGTCACATAAACCAAAATTCACACCGCATCAGGGTTTCTCCCAGTCCCAAGAGACAAGTCACTTACCCCAGATCAGGTGGTACTCCAGATCTTACACCAAAGACAAAGCTGGCAGCCAATTCTATAGTAAACTAACTAAAGGTTTATTAGCTAAGAAAAAGAATGAGAGTTATTGAGAGGTTAAAACAGGTAAAATATATGCACAGGTGAATCACAGTTTGTAATTCCAAGTGGTGGCAGTGAGGTAATAAACTGCCAGTTTCCAAAAGTCTTTCAGGATACCCAGATTGTCTCTGGGGATCTTTACTTTGCATCTGGTACACTTCCCTGGAAGAGTCCAAACAGTTCAGAGATGAAGGATCTTTCTTTTAATCCATATTTATAGATTCTTCACACATAAAGCAGGCTGACAGTGTCTCTACCCTTGGGGGTTTTCCTTTAACACTGGGTGAGGAATGTACTTAGTCTTTTGACCTCGGTCCATCATACATAATGGCCACTTGCTTTGAAATTAGAATTTTTTGTTTAAGTCCTTCATTAGCATTTCACAGGTTTTCTTTGTCTGATGAGTTATTTAGTTACAGGGGTATTTACAGTGTTTGCCCTTACATCATGACAGGACACAGATAAATAAAAACAATGCATGTAACAACCCATTAATTGTATGAAGTTTAAATACCCTGTACACACTTTTAGACCATTACTTTAATCTATACTAATGCCCCAGGTGAGGCATAAACAAGGAGTTAATGCCTTTCTGGCTGGCAGAAGTAATACCCTGGCCACAGGGAAGTATGCCACTTTCCCTGCATTAGCCATTTACCCCAGTAGCTAGAGGATTAGCTTAGAACGGGTTAATTTCCAAGTATTATTTCTATTTGAAACAAGCCAGCCAAATGTGGAAATAATCTCTGGCAGAATCCTGTGCAAACTTGTAATGCATGACATTTAAATAAAGAAATTTCCCTTAAAATATCCCTTGAGCTGAGAGAGGTCATGCCTTGAAGTGATAACTAATGTAGCCGACTGTAAGAGCTTCCTGGGGGGGAGGGACTGGGCCTTGGCAGCAGTATAATAGCGCTTGTGTGCCTCTGCTCTGAAGGCTGACCAGCACTGACTGTGTTCCCGATGTATCATTCCTCCTCGTCTCTCATGACTCAGCCTGCAGCAGATCTCATTGTGATTCAGTCACCAGCTCCCACAACCTAGACGGGAACGTTAAATTCTGTTTAAAATATTCAGCCTAAGCAGCAAAGATAATTTTTGAGGTGATGTTCCTTTTTTTTTGACTCAAAGTCACCCAGAGAAGTGGAATGATAATTGCACTTTATGACATGCAGATGCAGAGTGTAGTTTAATTAAATATGTAACGTCAGGCAGAGACTAGCAGCCAAAATAGGACTAAAAAGGAAAGCTGTCACCTTTACCACAGTGGCACCAATCCTGCTGGCCACACTTGGTGTAAATTCCCATTGACGTGCCGGGTAGCCAGACTTGACCTATGTGTTGCAGTTGTAAGTGCCCAGAGGCGACATGTATGGGATTAATTTATTTGCTGTCTTTCATAATGTCACAAACTTTATTTTTATCTTGACACTTTTCTTTGACCTATGTATCTGGCTAATCTACGGTATTTCTAAAGCTCCTATGCTCTTGGGCTCTAAGCCCTGGTCCTGTGAACAGTTACTGTATGTGCTTAATTTTAAGTACCTGAGACTACTCGTGAGCTTAAAGCCGAGCATGTGTGTGAACAGTACTGGATCAAGGCCTACGTACGTCTGACATTAGAATGGTTCCTTTCCTGGGTTATTAAAGGTATTTGAAAAGCAAATGGGATTTTTAATGCTCAGTGCTCTTTCTTAGCTCTTTGCACTTCTTACGTGGGGAGAATGGGAGCTGAGCAGTCAAGTGTCCTTACTGGGCCGTGCTCACTAGGCATCAGGGCTCCAAGACACCGGGGAATGTCTGTATTTCTTTTCTTTTCAATCATGGACCCCTTCCCAGCCATTCTATGTTATAACAACGTGCTGGGCTGAATTGCTGGGAGCATTGAAGCAGCATTTGCTGAACTTAAGCGGGGAGCAGGCGGCCAGCCATCATCTTTCCCCTTGCCTCCAAATTCTGAGGGCAACCGATAGGCCACTTCAGCCCCTAGTGCAAGTTACAGCTACTTCAGGGCTATCCAAACCTTTGCAGTTTGGCATAGTCCCCTTGGGGCCATCACTCCAGCTGTGTTTTCTCCTACCCGAATATACCCCGTATGCTGGAAGGCAGAGTGCTATAGAGTTGACTGTGGGCCAAAATCTGCTGCCTGTTCCCCATCTTTTTTTTTTTCTTTGAGCAAAGTTGATATTTGGGGCCAGTATACTTGGCCATGCTCTTGCTACACTAATATGTTAGCAAATCTTGCTTGACATTGTATTGGTAACAACAGGATGTATTTCCTACTCACTGGCATTCATTAGTTAATCTGCATAGGGACAGCGACATGTTGTGGAAATGGGCCTGGGCTTCACAGTTCAGAATCGGACCCAAACTTGCCAAAGTGCTGGTGTGTTCAGGCCAGGGACTTGAGGGTCAGTTTGAGGTGGGGGACAGCAATGAAGTTCAGATTCACACCTGAACTTGTCCCGGGTTGTATGGCTCTGGTGTTTTGATTCAGGCTTATCTCTGGTAATAGCAATGATAAACACAGGTAAGACTGGGAAAAGCTGCCTGCAATTGTACCAGTTAGCCCTGATTGAGGGCCTGATATTCTAAGCTGGTGAGTATCCTGATTTTTCGTTGTGATCTGCGGGAGCTGAGGGCTCCCAGCACAGTGCAGGCTCAGATGCTACATTCTCAAAGGATGTTAACTGCAAGAGATTGTCATTGATGGCTGAGATAGATGAGGGAGTTTGGTGATCAATCCTCACCGATGTACAATGGGAACCGGGTGCCCAAATCCCTGAGGCTTCTTTGAAAATCCCAGACACTGTCTTTAGTTATGGAACTTAGATGGAGTAGTTTAGGTAGATATAGGCAGACAGAGGAGCAAGCCAATAGGCAATTCATTGTGCAGGTTTGCCTTGTGGGATCTCTCTTTAGCCAGGTGGGGGCCTGAAAGTGTGAAGTTGAAAGAGGGCTATCTTTTGTGCAGAGCTCCTCTAAAACTTTTTCAGTGTCATTCCCCCTGTTTTGCCACCCCCTTGGAGAGCAGTTCCATCTGGGCCAAGTGTCCCTGGTCTCCGCCAATTCCTGTCATCACCTTAGCTTGCATTGCGCTCACTCTCACATAGGAGGCTAGCCTGCCCCTCTAGGATACTGAGAGTGTTAAGAAAGTTTGTTTAGTTAAAACAAATATAAAGTGCTGCTCCCACTCAACGTTGCTTCTTACTGATTTAAAAGTGTTTCCATTCAGCAATCAGTGCCTCCCCCCATGCCTGTAAGGGTAATTGCTCTTTGGCAGTACATTTTTTGATCAGAATAGAACTTGAGTAGGGAGGGGTTCCATGGGTAGGGGCTGGCATGGAAAACCAGCGGAGATGGCTTGGGGCAGGGCATCAGCAAAAGGAGGTATTGAGGCTGCCATCATTGGCAGAGCAGACAGGGTGCAGGCCATGTGATACGAAACCAGATAGGGTGGGGAGATAAGTAATGAGTACAAGATGTTTAAGTCTGGTGTGATGGAGAATGAGGAACCAGTGGAGTGGTTTAGAAGAGGGAGGTAATATGGTGACTTGGACGGGAGATGCTGGGGTTAGAAAGAAGATGTGTAAATACCACCCACCCGCCTGAATGGATAATGGAACTTGAGGTTGCTGGTAGTGAAGGGGAACAGCTTCAACAGTGAGGGAAGGAGACGCTCATTGAGGGACACCAGGTAGCTTCTCCCATTGTAGGGGCGCTGGAACCATTTTTATAGTGGGGGTGCTGAGAGCCATTGAACCAAACTGTAAACCTGCATATAATGGACACTATTTCAAGCCAGGGGGTGTTGCCGCACTTCCATAACCCCTAGTTCCAGCACCTATGCACCCTTGGAGTGTCTGGTGTCCATTGGCTAGTTGTAGGAGAGGGGTGCTGATTGGCCAGCATTCCCCAGCACCCAGGATTTACCCTGGGGCAGGGGCCATAGGGAGCCTTTTTTGGCTCTGGCAGTCCCACTCTGAACTAGGAAAGGGAATCTGGCCTGATGGATGCTGCGGGTCTAGACGATGACCCATTTGGTAGTCAGGAAGGAACTTTTTCTCCCATAGGCCACATGGCAAAGGACCAGGGTGGTTTTTTTGTGTATGGGTTTTTTTGCCTTTCTTGCAGCACCTTTAAGCTACAGTGGGTTAAATAGGAACGAGCATGGTACTGAACTGATGTACTTGGTTGAGTTGTTAATTCGTCACAACTTGTGGCCAGTTTCCAGTGCATTTAAAAGGATAAAATGAACGGTTCCCAGAGGTAAAAGACCTGGGATTTGGTGATGGGCCTTGGGCTCATGGGATGGCGTGAGACCTGGTTACCTGTCCCCACCCTTCTGCACCCTCTGTCCCCTCATGGTGGGGAGGGTGGTAGGTCTCAGAGTAAGCTGAGCCCTTGGGGGTAGGCTGAGGAGAGCTTACCCCAAATTACAGGTTAATGGTAGGAGCCCAGTAACCCCTGCAATGTATGCGATTAAATGCCTGGTATAGGAGAGTATGGGGGATGGGCAGGTAGCACCCCCTCCCCGGTGTTTAAATGTAATAAAAGTTGCAACCTGCCATTTAAACTCTCTCCATGCATCTGTCTTCATTTCATCTCTGTGTCTGTATCAAAAGGATTGAGCAAGGGGAAAAGGGAATTGGGACAAACAGCGACATCTGTCTTCAGCAATTGCTACTTGTAAACTTTAGCAAAAAATATACTTTAATAAAGAGTTGCTGGTAGCCAGTTATCCAAAAATAATGCAAGTGTGATAAATGAAGGGGGGAGGAGAGTGCCTCCCTTTTATGGACACCCAGCCAGCCAGTTAGCTATAAAGTTCCTCTCGGTGGCTGTTCTCTGCTTGCTTTACCTGTAAAGGGTTAAAAAGTCTCCCTGGCTAGGTAAAAGAAAGGGAGTGGGCACTTGACCAAAAAAGCCAATGGGATGGCTGGAACTTTTTAAAATTGGAAAAAACTTCCCTTTTGTCTGTTGTCATTCTTGGGGAAGAGGGGAACAGGGCAGCAGTTATACTATGAGAAGCTTTAAGCCAGGTATGAAAAATCATCAGATCATACCTAGAACTACTTATTTGAAACCCCCAGATGTGTAAGTAGATGAGGAATGTCTAGAAAGACAGGATTAGGTTTATTTCTTTTATGTTGTAAGACTTGTGGACTTCTCTGTGCTAACCCCAGATGCTTTTGTTTTACTTGTAACCTTTCAGCTGGACCTCAAGAAGCTATCTTGATGCTTAATCCTTGTATTGTTTTAATCAAATTTACCTTTTTTAAGACCAGGATTGAATTTTTGTGTCCCTAAGAGGTTTGTGCATGTTGTTTAATTAGCTGGTGGCAACAGCTAATTTCCTTTGATTTTCCTTCTCAGCTCTTCCCCGAAAGGGGTGTGTGTGAAAGTGCTTGAGGGTACCGCACAGGAAGGAATTCTCAAGTGCGCCTTCCTGGGTTTCAAAAAGGGGGTGTTTGCACTTGGGTGGTGGCAGCATCTACCCATCCAAGGTCAGAGAGAAGCTGTAACCTTAGGAGTTTAATACAAGCCTGGAGTGGCCAGTATTAATTTTTAAAATCCTTGCGGGCTCCCAATCTTGCACTTGAAGTGCCAGAGTGGGGAATCAGCCTTGACAGCAGGGGACAGAAACAGCCTCGCTGGCAGGGGCACAAACCCGCTCAAGCCGGAGCAGTGGGAGAGGCAGCTGTGTTGGCGTTAATATTTCCATTTCGTTTTGAAAGGACCATCTTCAAAGGTTTTGAACAAATGTATATTAATAAAAAAAGATCATAAGCTTTAAAAAAGAAAGAGTTGCTAGTTACATCTTCTGTCCCTGAGATCAAAGTTTCTTTCAAAGGCCGTGAGGAAAGTTATTGAAGAAACATTTAAAGTCAGTGAATTAACAGTTAAAGAAATCAAATTGACTTGCTGTAAGCAATAGGTAAATGAGAATCAGAGCAGCCTTTCATTTTGACTAGGATGACGGCAAGCACTTTTTAAAATTCAAGATCTTTGGATAAATTCAAAGTCTGTATGCAAATCATGCTTTTTTGTCAGTTCTTGAGTCCCATGCTTTGCTTTTTGAATGGGAACCTACCTTGAGCCATCTGTGTAAGGACTTTGGCCACTGGGCATGCTGTATGAACACCGTGCTCATCACTATAGTATTTGTGTTCCTCTAGCAGTGCATTAAGCCAAGTGACTGCTAAATGTTGTCTGATCCTACAAGTGGCAGAGTATCCTTATCTCCTACTGACTTCATTAGAAATGGAGAGTGGTCAGCATCTTACAGGACTGGGCCCTTTGGTCCTGATCCAGCATAACTTTAAGCTTCTGACTAGTCCCAGTGTGGTCATGTGCTTAAAGTTACACCTGTGTGGCTGTGAGTTGCTGGAGTGGGGCCGTGGGTCGTTGGCTGTTTGAAGCAAAGACCTTGTCCTTATGTTGGTTTCTGAAGCACCCAGTTGGTGCTATATATGCAATTAATAAATACAAATAGTGGTTTGTTTCATTAAACTCAGGGGCAGCTGAGCCACGTTCTAACATGTTCTAATGCCCAGCCTGTGAGGATGGCCTACTGTGTTAGAACACAATTTGCCCAAAGTTGTGTTTTGCCTGGATTGAAAAAATCTACCCCCCCAAAAATAGAACTTGTTGTTTTTTAACCCGCTTATAACAGTTTGGCCTCATCCACACAGACTAAGCTGTTTTAGAACATGAACTTGCTGCTAGAAATGACTTCCAGACGGTTAGGGTCTTCACTTCTTCTGTGTCTGCTCCTCTGTTTGTGGGAGGCAGTGGTAAACCTTCTGGGGCTCAGATCCTCAGCTTGCATAAATTACAGTGATACCATTGATGTCAAAGGAGCTGCCCCAGTTATCTTCTGTTGAGAATTTGGTCCCCATGGCCTTCAATGGGGGCAGATGAAATCATACTGGTATTTCTACCTGTGTCTCAGTCCCACACCTGCTGCTTCAGTAGTGCTGCTTTCTGGAAGCAGGTGGAACCTCTTTCCTTTCCTCTTTGAAATGGAAGTATCCTCTCTTGTTTCTGTAGTTGAAAAGCATGGCAGAAATAATGCAAGGGTGGGGATGGGATGGCAGAGTCCTTGGGCTATAGTTGCATTCTAAACTAGTGGGGTGTTAGTCATTTATAAATGAGATGTTCACAGAGTTGGTATCTGACCTAAAGGAAAATAAGGATGTTTGTAATGTATCCACTTTGATGACCTAACAATCAGAAGCAGACATCTGTATTTTGTGGATGGGTTTAATGATGAGCATAGGATTCAAACTCAGATTCTTGTAGCAGACTGGAGATGCATGTATTATAGTAGTCATGATGAACAGGGTAGCATGCTATATGATGTTATTGTAGTTCTACTGATAGCTCCAGATGGCTCTACAAGATGGATGGCTCCACAAGAGTATTGGGATATCTGGAATATGAAAAATCAGAGAGATTTAGCATGTCCAAAAGATTTTGATATAATACATTGAGAATACCATGTTTGAATACATTTAGAATCTGCTATTAGCTCTTTTAATTCAGAAATAATGTACCATGAATTCATCATTTCTTTGTCTGAGTTCTTAGGAAATCACGTATTAGTTTATGCATCATTACAGCTGAATTATTGCGACTTATAAAGTTTTACAAAAATATATTTTAATACATTTGCTGGTAGCCAGCTATCCAGAGAATAATCAAATGCAAGAGCTTTGGGCAGCTTGAGTATCATTTAGAGAAGTTGCAGATGATACCATGTCGGTTCAGGTAGCTCTGAATGTAGGGTAGTTGATTAACATGTGGGTAGGGCAGGTATTTTGCTATGGTAACTATAGTTTAAACCCACATGTGGCTTGATGGATTTTTACAACGCGTGTAGCTCTTGGTATTACATACAATATGATGGGGGCTAGTTTAGCTACAACTAATCAGGAAAAAGATCTTGGAGTAATCGTGGATAGTTCTCTGAAGATATCCACGCAGTGTGAAGCGGCAGTCAAAAAAGCAAACAGGATGTCAGGAATCATTAAAAAGGGGATAGAGAATAAGATGGAGAATATCTTATTGCCCTTATATAAATCCATGGTACGTCCACATCTTAAATACGGCTTACAGATGTGGTCTCCTCATCTCAAAAAAGATATACTGGCATTAGAAAAGGTTCAGAGAAAGGCAACTAAAATGATTAGGGGTTTGGAACGGATCCTATATGAGGAGAGATTAAAGAGGCTAGGACTTTTCAGCTTGGAAAAGAGGAGACTAAGGGGGGATATGATAGAGGTATATAAAATCATGAGTGATGTGGAGAAAGTGAACAAGGAAAAATTATTTACTTGTTCCCATAATATAAGAACTAGGGGCCACTAAATGAAATTAATGGGCAGCAGGTTTAAAACAAATAAAAGGAAGTTCTTCTTCACACAGCGCACAGTCAACTTGTGGAACTCCTTACCTGAGGAGGTTGTGAAGGCTAGGACTATAACAGGGTTTAAAAAAGAACTAGATAAATTCATGGAGGTTAAGTCCATTAATGGCTATTAGCCAGGATGGGAAAGAAATGGTGTCCGTAGCCTCTGTTTGTCAGAGGGTGGTGATGGATGGCAGGCGAGAGATCACTTGATCATTTCTTGTTAGGGTCACTCCTTCTGGGGCACCTGGCATTGGCCACTGTCAGTAGACAGGATACTGGGCTAGATGGACCTTTGGTCTGACCCAGTACAGCCATTCTTATGTTCTTATTAGGGATTATTTTAAACTATGTGAATATATTTGTACTGAGCTTGGTGAAATGTTTGCCTAGTCTGGGATTTTAAAAGGGATTCAGTGCCCAATTCCCACTGAATTTCCCACTGCTTTTGTGCAGGATGGTGCTGAATTTATCTAGTTATTAATTACCATAGTGATGCTTCGAGACCACTCTTAGGGATCAGGGCCCTATTGTGCTCAGTACTGTACATAAATATTTTAAAGAAGGAGCCAGTCCCACAATCTATCCTGCAATTGGAATGGGCTTCAGTGGGGGCTCTGTGTGGTTGGTCTGACTTTGTAGAGCCTAGGCCCATGGTGAGATACAACAGACTAGATGGAGAAAAACATAACAGGTGGAAGGAGGAGGACATGGTAACAGTGACACGAGCATGTTCAGTATACTCAGCTACAGTGTCAGCAGACCTCCTGCTTAGCCATTGTGTCAGGTGTTTTATAGGCATCCTGACCTATAACCCAGTCTGAAGCCCACCAGCCCATGAAGGTTTTTAGAAAAAAAAGAACAAATTAAGGTATTAATATGGGTAGTAGTGAGATTTTTTTTAAATTAGTGGTCCAACAACAACAGTTTCAACCACCTACTCTGGAAATATGGATTCTTTCAGGCTGCATAAGAATCTTCTGATGCCCTGAGGAGTTCTCTTCAAAGCCTATGTGATTTAATTAGAACTAGCTCAGTTAAAGCAGAGCTGGGTAATAGTTACCAATTCCCTATTTGTCTTTGTTCCCTCTAGTATTCCTGCACTCACCACTTCTTTCCCTCATTGCCCTAATAGAGCCGCAGCAGCTGCTGTTCCTTGTTGCCTTCTGTATTCCATTCACAAGGCATGCACACTCTCTGTAATATAATCAGTGGCCTAAGAGCGGAATGCCCTCCTCAATCTGGGTTTGAGTTGTCGCTCCATACTGCCACCACAGCACTGGTTCATCTCAAGAAAAACATTGGTGCTGATCCACCTGAATATACCCTGTCCTCTTCTTACTCTTGTGTTTTTATTCATGGCTCCTGGCAAGGAACCGATATGCTATTTCACTCAGCAGAGTTATTCATACACAAAGATAGATGGTAAGATTGAAAGCAAGTCTGAATTCATCAAAGTGGAAGACAAGACAAAAATTTTCAGCAAAATACCACTAGCATTTATGCTAAAAGGGGGAAAAAACACCGGTATCTGACATTTAAAAATAATGCCTCATGTAAACACTAAATGCCTTTTTAAGGTCATCAAGAAGTTTTGACTACAGTTCTCTTTTTCTTTGTATTAATTATGTAATCAGTAAAGATGTGCTTCCCACAACTCCCGCTTTACGTGTGAAATTGAACAGTGACCGTGGAAAAGGTAATGCTGCAAGAATTAAAAGAGCTCAAGTGATCTGCAGCTACTTGGCACAGGGAATATTGCATCACATTTAAGTCCTTTGGTGCTTATTTTAATAACATTAATCATGATGAACTCTTTAGTCATTAAAGAGGATGAAATATGCAATTCCATGGGAACCGTTTTGCAATTTAACTTATAATTTATCACCACATTGTTATGATGAATACTTTAAAAAAAATTGCTTCATATCAGGCAGGTTCACCCATGGAGTGTTGGTTTCATTTTGAAACTTTGCATAATATTCATAATCAGAAATCAATGCATAATTCTTTGTTTTAATTTAGTAAGAATGAAAACTCAGGTTATAGGCCTGGACTATTAAAATTACCTTCAAAGGGAAGTTAGAAAAAGGAGATTTCGCTTATAAAATATGCAATCTCAGTCCTTTTGCCTCCCTTTGTCCTGATGACCCCTCCATAGATTTGTAAGGTGAAACCCTGGCTCTGTTGTCACCAATGGAAGTTTTGCTATTCACTTCAATGGAGCCAGAATTTTACTTGTACATTTTAAAGTTCAGAAGGAGACTACTGTGATATCAGGCATAACACAAGGCATAGAATGTCAACCTGTAATTCATGCATCAAATCCAATAAATTGTGGCTGAATTAGAGTGTCTCTTTTAGAAAGACATTTAATTTTGATTTAAAGTGATGGACAACCCACCACATCCCTACATGCAGCAATCAAAAACCAAAAAGGCATTAACCTGTATTAAAAAGTACCCATAATGCAGTTTATATAAATGATGGGACACCTTAATCTTGAATATGGTGTTCAGTGTGGTTGGGCTATTCAAAAGTGCCTTAGACACTTAGGAGCAAAAGTGCCATTGAAAGTCAGTTGTCAGAGTGCTGTGGAACTAGGTCTAACCTTGGATTGCATGGGATTTTTGTTCTTCCCGATGTAGTTATCAAATCTTAATGCGTTATGGGAGTGTAGTCTGAAATTTGGCACTTTTCCAGGAAATTGAGGTCTGCAGCTAAGGCATGGTGCTGTTGCTTTGAAAGCAATGACAAAACTCCACCTGACTTCAGTGGTGCAGGACTGGATCCCTTACCCCAAGGCTGCATAAAATTATTATAGATTTCATCTAATTTAAAATGGACCATTCATGGGATACACCAAATAATATCTCAGTAAACCATGACAGAATCTTGTAGATACATGGCCCTGATGTCCCTTGAACATGATGGTGATGTTGATTATTTGCTCCTTGCAATTTTAAAGACCTCCCCAGAGTGCCATGCTACAGCCTGATTCAAAGCCCACTGAGGTGTGTGGGATTCTCTGCATTGACTTCAGTGGGCTTTGGCTCAGGGCCCTCTTAGAACTAACTTGAACTGGACTTCAGGGAATGGTTGAAGAATCTTTAGTCTGTTAGTTTGCTAATTCATTTGAGATCAGAGTTATAGATGTGTTCGGTTCAATGGTTAATTTACTGAAACCATCTAACAACCTGGTGCATATTAAGATGACCGTTATGAATTTTAAGGCAAGTTTTATAACATTATAAGAGTTTTTTATAGTGCTTCCATCAGAGGCTCTCAAGGTACATCACACATTTTACCAGCCTCTCTCACTCAGGGGAATGCAGGAACTGCAGCTGTCCTCAGCCCCTGGCCAGGAGTATGACAGTGGAGAAGGCTTTTTTGTGTGTGTGTGTCTTTTATCCTGCACTCTTGTGGACAAACATGGCGCTGGACACAGGCTGACTGTAAATGAATTGCCCAGGGTAATAGTGAGTCTGTGGCAAAACCCGGAATACTACTGATTTTGATTACTAAGGTTCCCAAACAGGGATCAGGACCTCATTGTACTAGCAACCAGAGCTGAATGAATAATTGATTTTTTGGTTCGGTGGCCTAATCGAAAAATGTCTCCAAAAAATCAGTTAATTTGGAAGCCAAACTGCTTTTTTTCCCCTCATCAAAACAAAACATTTAGTTTGGGGCAAATTAAATGTTTCAAACATTGTTTCAAAAATGTTAATTTGAAAACATTATGACATTTTAAATAAAATCAGTTTTTATCAGCTGAAACTATTTGCCAAATTTGATTTGAATTCACAAATAGTTTTGGTGCCGCCCATAAATATATATTTCTGAGAATTTACTGTTACTCAATTTAGGGCTCTCACCCCCGCCCACCCCCCAGCAACCCTCCCTTTTGGGTACTCAGGAAGAAAGGGACTCACCTTTACCCCTCCATGGGCTCAGGGCTCCATGGGTCTGTGGGACCTTTTCCCGGTGAACAAGTATTACACAGCTATATCCTTAGACTTCTATTTAATTAATAATTGATCAACAGAGAACATATGCTAAGAATACAATACTCACCACTCCCAGTAAGGCAGATAAACTTTTCTTAATGGCCAGTCAAGATTAGATCATCTGGTGACTCCAGCTTCTGCACGGTATGGTCAGCAAGCTGTTGAGGTCTGGCAGTTCTGATCTTGGGCTGTGTCTCGGATTAGATTCCAAAGAGCTTCACATTTTACACACATTATATAGGTAAAACCACTACTACTTTATCTATACTTTAACCTATCACATGTCTAAGAACCTTCAAACAACACATCTTAACCAATCATATGCAAGCTCCCCCGTGTCTTACGTTTATCTATTACTTTATGTATTACAGTTTATCTTTGTGGCTTTGTTTTTCCAGATGGTCAGCACAAGACGTTTTCCAAGGTTGATCTAGTGCTAGTCTATGGCCAGTTCTTCTTGGCTTTCTCGGAACCCTCCCAAAAATTCCTTACCGTTAGCTTTTCTTTCCTAGTGGCTGTTGGTTGGTGCATTCCTGAGGTGGGAGTGCCTTATCAGCAGTGGAACATTTTGTTTTCAGTAATGTAGTGAATGTTGGTTGGTAACAGATTGAGTCGGGGTGGATAAATTGTCACGGCTACATTACTGTTCCCTGAAAAAATTTCGCCCAGTTCTAATAGCAACCACCACCACAACGGTCTCTGCCCCAGAGATCTCAGAGTCTAGAAATGGATCCCATTTCCATGCTTAGCCAGTAGAGCTTGCTTCTTTCTTTCCATGAACCACAGTGTATGTATCCTTCAGCTACTGGCTGCTCAGGATGCGAAAAACATAGCTCATTGTTAGCTACCATTGCAGTGATAACACCGGTAACACAATTCTATCATGACCAGCAGGTGGATGTCGTGTACTAGAGAGAGACTAGAGAGTGTTTGTCCTCCCTCCCCACTGCATTAACCAGTTCTAAGCGCTGTTAGGCTGGATAAAAGAATGCCTGCTCAACTCAGCCAAATACTAGTGTGCCCATGTTTTTGTTAAGTGTTCTTCACTCCCGTTCATGCATGGGGAATGCCACATTTTCATTCTATTTATTAAAGAAATCTCAAAGAATTTATTAAACCAATGTAAAAATACCATCAGTTCCAGCTCTTTTATTTGGTTGTTATTATATATTGTCATTGCAGTGACCCCCAGAGGCACGGATCAGGACCTGCATTGTGCTAAACATTGTACACGTGTTATGGGGAAAAAAACAGGCTCTGCCCCTAAACACTTACAATATTAGCATCTGATGAGACTACAGGCAAAGATAGGGCAAGGTGATAGTGAAACAAACATGATTCACATAATCAGCAATCTCAGCACACCAGCTGCAATGGGCTTTTCAAGTGTTTTCTAAGTATCACAGGAGCGATGAGTAATTTGCTTTATGAATTAATGGCTTGAATGTTCTTTATAAAGAGCTAGACATCTCAGTAGAGCTTGGATAGCTTGTTTTAATGTACCCGCTTCCGGAAGAGCTTGCAGATGGAATTCCTGCTGTGAATGAGAATGTATATGTAGAACGCCGTGTTCAAATAGGTTGCAATGTGGAGTAATGCGACACTAATAATGTAAATGAACTAAGCACAAAAGAGAAGGGGCTGAATGTTCCACACTGATACAGCCACTTGTACTGGGTTAGATTTCAGAGGACCTACACTAGCCATAGGACTGGTGTAATGGAGTAGAGAACCTGGGCCACAGTCTACTGGGAAACAGTTATTATTGTGGTAATAGCTAAAGGCCCAATAAGGGATCAGGGCCCCATTGTGCTAGTACAAACAAGTAGTCCCTGTCCCAGAGACCTAGGAGTACGATGATGCAACAGGGGCATAAGGAGCAAAATAGGATGAGGGACAGGTAACAGTAACGATGGGTGTATTTCCATAGGTAATGGAAATACACCCATGCTGCGGTCCAGCAGCCTCGCTAATGCCTGTAACAGCAAGTGTGATCCCGCTCTTGCTGAAATCAGCGGGAGTTCCATAGGCGTGTGCACGGGGTGTGCCCAGGCACACCCTAATCATGCCTGAGCTCCATCTGGGAAGGCTGCTCCTCCCCCGCTGGAAGCTCGGAGAGGGGAGGAGGACAAGGAGGAGGCTGCTTAGCACGCCCGGGAGATCAGCTGTTGGCAACTGCCAATCAGCTATTTAGAATGCTGCAGCAGCCCTCATCAGCACTGGCTGGCTGCAGCCAATCAGCTGTTTGGCGCGAAGTCCTGCCGATCAGCTGTTTCCCCTGCCCCTACTGCAGCTTGGAGACTGCAGGCAGAGGTAAGTGAGTCTTTCTGATTTTCAGGGTAGAGGGTGCTGGGCTAGGGGGGACCAGCAGCCAGGGCAGGGCAGCTTCTGGGCTAGCTGCAGAGGGGTGGGCAGCCTCTCGGCAGGGGGCTGGGGGGAGGATGGGCAGGCAGCTTCTGGGCTAGCTCCAGGGGACTGCTGGGGGGTGTATGGGCCAGGGGCTTTCTCAAGGACTGAGCCAGCCAGTCTCAGCCCACCCTGGTGTTTCCCCCAGGACCTGTGCTCCCCTTCAGGAGAAACCAGCTGCAGACCCCCTTAGTGCTGGGCAGGGGCACAAACCAAAGGACGTGGTTCCTTTAAGAAAAGTTCTTCCTTGTGTCTTTTGAGTGAAATTGGGCTGGGGCCAGCAGCTTGCCCCCTCCCCCTTCTTTACCTGTCCAGAGGGGCTTCACTCCAGCCCCAGCTGCAAATGAGCAGCCTCCCCAAACCTAGATGCTGCCCAGCCCCCTCCCATGCAGGCTCTGGGAGCTTCCAATCCCTACGGTTCCCTTATACCTGAGAAAGTAATGCTTGCCCAGCTCAAAGCTGTCTCCCCGTCCCCCACACCCAGATCAAGCCTGCCTGAGGGGCTTTTCCTCCGAGAGGAAATTTATCCCCTCCCCCGCCGATCAGCACCACCTCCTCCCAGTGTAAGGAAGGATTGATTCTCTTCCCCTGGATCCCCCTTCTCCCCCGCCCCCAGCTCCTGGGGAATTCCTTCCCTTGCATCCATCCCCCATATCAGCTTCAGGTCAGGAGATGCTGCCCTGCTTCACCTTGGGACATCTGAGCTCCTCTTGCTTCAGGGTGCTGGGCTGCTGCAGCCCGGTGGAGTAGGCAACTGGCCCCTAATCCCCTGCCTTTGGCCATGGTCCCACCAGGGGCTCCCCTCCCACAAAAGTTGTAGAGTGTGTGAAGGAGTCAAAACGGGGGAGGATTGCAGCCCTGGGATTGGGAAGAGCTGGAGCAACAACACAGCAGCCACACAGCAGGCTGAATGAATGGGCCATTTCTATGCTGGGCTGTTGAATTAAATTTCTCTCTGTGTCAGGGCATGTAGTTTCTAGGCTGGCTGCAGGGGGTGGGGTTCGGAGGAGACAGAGCTGCTTTGAGTGCGTGGGTGGGAGCAGCTGCTAAACAGAGCTACCAGGAAGTGGGGAGCAGAGAGAGATGGGAAAAGGGACACAGGTGAAGAGCAAGAACTGGGAAACATCAGGAAGGGGAGATACCAATGATAGACACACTTTCAATAACTAGAATGAAAGTGTATAAATGTTGAAAATAGCCTCCCCTCAAAACTGGCAGAGTAATCCTCCAGCACCCACACCTCGCTCTTAAGGCAGGAGGGGCAGAAAGGAGTGAGCAGCTGGTGGGAGCAGGGGAGTTGAATGGGTTGGGAGTTCTGGGGATCCTGTCAGGAGGCAGGGAGTGGTTGGATAGGCGTGGGAGTCCTGGGGGTCTGTCCGGGGGCAGGGATGTGGCTAAGGGTCAGGGCAGTCAGGGGACAGGTAGGGGGTAGGATCCTAGGGAGGCAGTTACAGTGGGGGGGTCTCAGGAGGGGGCAGTCAGGAGACAAGGAGCATGGAGGCTTAGATAGGGGGTGGGGTCCTGGGGGGCAGTTAGGGGCAGGGTCCCAGGGAGGGGGCAGGTCAGGGGG